GGACTTCTATGACACATTTGTCAAGTTGACATGCAATTTGGTGATCACGAAAGCTGTTCAATACAGCGTCTAATCGAATTGTGCGACTTTATTTCTCTCAGACCGTCCTCAACCCTACTATGGATGATTGCGTCGTCAAAGTAATGTAGCGCGTTGCCGCGTTGCCGATGTATCAAGTGTGCCACAACTCGTTTAAATGTTGCTGACGAGTTGTACCCTCGCAGGAGGTTCTTTGGATACAAAATTGTCGTACTCCTTTAGCAAAGGAAAGTAAGGATTCGATGGGTTCTTCAGGATCTGTGATCCACTTCACACATTCAGCGCCTTCTTGGTATCCTAAAAAACTACCCTATCCAAAAGAGATGAGCATATCAACTCCTTCATAGGTCGTATAATGGCCACCTCGGCGATGTTGCCAGCCTGTAAGGCACTGCCAGACTCGGCAACTCGTCCAGCTTCAACGGAGCACTTACTCTGGGTGCAGTCGAAAGAGTCACCGGCTCTTCGACATCTTCAGTCAAACTATTGACGAGTGTATATAGCTGCTTGCTATCATCGTCAGTCACGAAACACGGATCTCTACTCATGGTGGTTTCAGAATTCGACGCGATAGCGTCCACAGGTGTAAACACCTCAAGGCTAAAGGCCACTCTTTCCCCCCATCTATTTGGTCGTCTCATCATGAGGTGATTGAATCGCGTTGTTTTTGCAAACAAACGTCATCATTGACTTTACCTGACCTTCGTTGACCAGTACCTTGTCACTATGTGCTTGCACCTCGTTGCTATTACGTACAACTGTCTTACCTGACTTCACTTGGCCCTCTTGGGACAATACTTTGTCACAAGGTGCTTACACCTCGTTGTCATCAAATACAACATCCATTGCTGACTTTACCCGATTCTCTAGGGTCAGTGTCGCATCACCTATGTCATTGGAACATGGTATCGACATTTTGTCTCGCAGCCACACACATCACGCATGGTTTTTAATAATGTAACATCACATGTCATATGTGTCATCTAGTGAGTCTCAACCACACCACTGATGGCCTTTGGCTCGCCCAGGGCAATTATTCTCATCACTTGCAAAGCCTACGAATCCGGATAAACCGACACCAAGCATTCTGGCTATTCGGTCCAATATCCGCACCAAACGCATGTTTTTGCTTCTTAGCAGTGGTCAGTTTTTGACTCTTGAGAGCCCAGGAGCAATGCGCGCTGCGCCTAAGGTATTTGACCTCCAATCAATCCATGCTTCGTGGCGTTCTAGCCATGCCATCCCTAGGATAAGGTCATACCTGATTGGCGGTGCATACTACCGTGTTATCTAAGCTTTTAGATCTGCCCATGATGGGAACGCATCTTACAGTGATGCACCGTATGTTAATATCCATAACTTTGTTAAGCTTCCCACCTTACCCGTGACAAAGCCAAATCGGTGTGGCGTATGTGAATGTCGGCTATAAACATAGTCGACTCAATCTGTTGGAAGCATAGCATAAGGTTACCACCATTGCCGTCGAACTTAGCGACTTCCATTTGAATGGTTTTTGGTCTGTGGACCACTTTCTGCGCCATAGTTTCCAGAGTCGACGGCGCAGATGAAGGCATTTTTGCCTTTAAATGCTCTACATAAGCGTTATTGTCTTCTTTAAGCATATGACAACGCTTGTTGACCTCTTCTACGCCTTAGGATATGGAAGACATTCTAAGCACTGTGGTCAAAGAATAAGAAGCAGTTGTATCAACCCTTTTTGTTGTGCCTCGATAGGCCAACACCGGACATCTCCTTGATGTCCATTATCACAGAGGAGTAGTCACAGACCCCAGAATTGAGGTGTTAGGGTCAGCGCGCACGGTGCATAGGATTGCGAAGAATAAGTCGCTTGGTGAGCGTGTAAAGGGATAATTTTCGGTAAAAGTCACGAGATAAAAGGGTACCGAGTCCTCATTCGAACGGTAAGATCATGATCGTTAATCAGCACGTCAAAAACGTGGAGACATTGACTGAGGAGCAGAACAAACAGATATGTCGCGCGCATATCACGGTGGTCGATAAGACGGTCAAGAGTAACGACAAAGATTTGTCGGAGAGAGTTTTGACATTGGTTCGTAATAAGACGCTACGGTATTTAGATCACAAGCATCATCTTTACCGTGCCACTCTCTATACCAGCAGCAAACGTAAGACCACAGTACAATCCGAAGTAATTGCTTGTTGCCACAGGCAGCCCATACGTCTTTAATATTTCGATAGCCCCGTCTGCATCAGTTTTAGCCTTAAAAAGTTATCAGCTATGCAGCACATGACTATGTTTGGGTGGAGTAAAGACCGTCCACAATCCATTCTCCAGTTCTTTCTCCATGTCAACCATCCAGTTGTACTTTAAGTTGATTTTTATAGCTTGTCCGTAGTTCTGCGGATCGGCCTCCCGCGCGCTATTCACCACGTACAAATTGTCACTTGTTTGTGTTTCGTCCGCTTTTTTGCGCAGCTAGCGCACCGCTGCTCTTGTCTTGTGCGCATCGCCCATTCATTTGTCCTTCTGTCACGATGCGTTGAGCAGTGTCTGCGACGCACGGTGATACTTTTAACGTTTATATAAAGGCCGACAAGGAGGCAGGGGCGCGTTCACGCAATGTGCAACCGATATGTGCCTGTACGTTTTTTTTTTGCCAAAACGGTGATGTAACTGTTGTAGGTGTTTATGTGGATAACCTATTGGCAACTGCTTCCAATCCAGAATTGGTGAAGGATATTTGTAAGGTGGTGAATGCATCGTATGTCAAGGACTAAGGAGAGGTGCAAAAGTATTGTGGGATGAGGTTGCGACGCAAAAGTATATACACTGGACGAACAGGCATCAACTGAGAAGATGCTTCAGCAGCATGGCTTTAAGGAAACAAATGACGTGCGTGTTCCTATGGATGAGGGACACTTAGAGCTGGATAAAAACCCTGTGTATTTAATGACACGGCCAGGACATTAATGGGAGCCCCCAACTATTTACAATGCAGCCGCTTGTTGAAAGCTTGTTTTAACTTCCACGATGTACGCGTCCCGACATCAGCTTCGCGGTAATCGTGGCCACAGGAAAAATGATCAATCTTCTTTAGATGACTGGAAGCTAGCAAACAATATTGCAAGGCATTTTAAAAATATCAAGAGCATCAAGCTAAGTATGGAAGAAACACGATTTGGAGAAGCCGGTATCTGCTTGGCAAGCTGGAGTGACTCCAACTTTGCAGCAGACAAGGCTGATCGCAAATCCGTGATTAACCATGGACGGGGCTGTCGTACAACGGATTGCAAGAAGTAAACAGGGGTATTACCATTGACAATGAAAGCTGAGTTTACTTCAGCCTCTCACGTTGCGCAAGGATAACAAGCTGCTATCGGAAACCAAATGTTTAGTAGTACAGCTCATGAAAATGCTGATGGACAACTAGACCAGAGAGCATGTCAAGCGCCAAGCATGTGGATGTGCGTATGAAATACGTATGCGACTTAGCAAGGAAGGGAGTGGTGAAACTAGAGCTCGTTGAGTCGCGCCTCATGGCCACAAACATACTCACGAAGGTGCTGCCAGCCCCAAGAATAATAGAGTCGCTCCAAATTGTTTTTTTGCACTAAGGTGCGACTAAGAAACCAGGATGAGGACGAGCGTGCGACGACCGAGGAAGAGTATTAGAACAAGTTAATGAAACTGACATTTTTGGCTGACCACTTTCATTGGAAAGGAAAAGTTTACTACAGGATACGCTCTGGACACATTGGTGTAATTAGTTGAGTAAGCACGTATGAGTTGGAAGATAATATCAATAGCCACCAATTGATCATTCACTTCATATCCTACGAAGATAAACATTTTCTGATCTCAAGCTTTTAGGGTTCGGAATTCGTCTAATTTATATCAGATTTTGTCAACACATGCGGGTAGTATCCAAATGCAAAGGCTAAATCCTCTAAAGCTACATCATTCTATTTGAAATTGTAGGCTGCTGGTCAATAAACAGCACTTTGGGCGTTTCGGTTTTCTCGCTCGCTCGATTCTTGTAAAGATGGATGGAGCGCAGACGACACTCAAATTGTTGCATGCGTCCTTGTACAAATAACGTTGATACATAAAGGCAGCAATCAGGTTTTTTACCACACTTTCTCGGAAATTGCCATGTTTGATACAATAAAGCCAAATTAACGTAGGGCTTTAAATGAGTTTGTAATCTAAAATAAGGTTAATGCATCAAAATCAAGTATACCAAAAGCCTTTCATAATTAATGAACGTATACACATGTCACTCTTTTGTTTTTTCTTCTCCACAAAAAATAAAGTGTTCCTACCACCATCCAGCCGTGATTGCAATTCATCCGATTTTACGCATTAGATTCACCATTGAATCGTTATCACTCGTGTGCAATTCAGTGTAATGACAACACACCTAAATAGCACTTCAACTTGCAATCTCAATGCTAATTCCGAGCACGAGATCGTCATGACACTCGCAATTGAGACATCAAAAGAGAAGAAAAAGAATGACGACAAGGAGGACGTTGACGAGACTCTATCACTCGTATCTCCATCCATTCATCCAGTAAGTGATACGATTGAGTCTCATGTGACATCCACCAGTAGCTTTTCACCCACCGAGTCATTTCCCTGTCCTCATCTTGCTACTACTTCACCACACAATAACAATATAACAGCAATACAAAGCATAAAAACAAATATCACTACTACTACTACTAATAATAATGTATCAGCTGTCTATCGATGGTATGAAGTTGAAGAAGGGTTTCGTGCAAAGAAACGAGAAGAATCATCCATTGCCAAGTGTAAATTATGCAAAGAACAAGAAAAAGCCGACCGTAAAACCTACGTACGATTTAGTAAAAGTGTAACATCAAATCTATGGCGACATTTGAAAGAGAATCATCCGATTGTGTATGCAAAACATGCAAGTGAGAAGAAAAATGTTCAAATGCATCGTGTCGTAAGTATGAAAAAACGAGGAAGAAAGAAAAAAGTGAATGCAATTCCTGCAACGAAATCAGAAGCAACAGCTTTTGTGTTGGAATCAATTGATGGAAATGTGTCCCACACGTCAAGTGATCGACACTCACCAGTGAAGAAAACAAAGAGAGGAGAACATCAAAGTACTCATGGATTCCCAGACCATCAGCTAGATATCGACTTATCACATCAACAATATCAGGTTACTAGACGAAAAAGTCCAGCGACTGGATCAAGCTCTGCTGGAACCTCTGGTGCAATGCTGACTGGGAAAATTCATGCTGAAAAGGTCCTTGAAGCCATGGGATATTTGTGTTTGTATGAAATGCTGCCATTCGAGTTGTGTTCGAGCCACGCGTTTGGCAATCTTATAATGAAATGCTTGGAAGGGTGTGGTGGCTATGCGGACGACCCGAATCACTTTAATGTTTTTACCAAGGAGTTTGCGTCTGGATACGTCAAGAATATGGCTGCGGAGATTAAAGTGCGGACTGCCATGCAGATGAAGACGACAGATTTTGCGCACCTAATGCTTTCTGAATGGAGACCGTCGGATGATGCTAGGGTAGAAACGGCAACGGCTGCGGCTGCGACAACTACAGTCGATTTCACACATCCCAGTGGTAAAGAGCTGGTCTTTCTTGCTTTCTTTGCGGTCGGACTGGACCACAAATTTAACCCCTTCCGTAGATGTCTACACGTCTCATCTATTGAAACTTACTGTCCACAACAAGGAAAATCGATTGCAACGATGTTTGCTAAAGACGAAGAGTTAAAGAAAGCAATGGAACGCGTTGCTTTTTGCAGATCCATGCCTCAAATTTTTGCTGTGGAGCCACCATGCTGCGGGTATCAGTCTTTTGCTGTGGATCACAAGTTGCATCTGTTGGAGAGTGTTCCTACAGTTCTGCAAAATATTGTACTTGCCACCATTAATGGAGTCCGCATTTTTGGGAGTTATTGTTTTGCTAGTGACGTGTTTGCAACCTCGGCAGCCTCTAGTTCTGTATGCTTTCAAAGTCAACGCATGGATAAGGGCGAGTACATTGACAGCAGTTCTGCTGCAGTTACAGCAGGATTATCCGTTGCTGATTGTTACGGCATCACGACCGAGGAAATTGCATCCAGTATTGTCGAGGAACTGCCAACAAGTCTCATGGGACATACGTATCGTGACCTGATGAACAAGCTGATGTATTTGCTTGCGCATTTCAAACAATCGTCAAAGTCACGCGAGGTGTTACGAAGGTTGGCATTGGAGCAGTGCAGTATGAGCACAGCTTCTTACGAGCGCTTGTTCATCGATCGCCTTCGAGAGATGACCATATCAATGGGTCAGATATATTATGTGTTGGCACTTGTTGAGGATATGATGCCGGCACTCAGAAAGTATATCTTGTTGCATAAAGACAATGATTCTGACTTTTCCAAACTTATCCAGCTAACATCTTTATCACGGTACGAGTGGTCTCGTGTACGCTATCTTACGATGATACTGAAGCCATTTGCTGAGGCCACTGCAAAGCTGGAAGGTGAGCCATATGTCGTTTCGTCTTTAATCGTGCCGTCGGTGTTCACACTGATCGAGAAAATACGCGATTTTCGCCCTGTCAATATTGGATTCACTGATGTGTCTTACGATGGCTTTGCTAAGAAAAGCACTGCAGAGGTTATGGTTGATGATTTACCAGAGGACATCGAGGCATTGAGAGATCTGGCATTAAAAAATTTGCTAGCAAGTTTTGGGCATCTGTTTTCGGTCCCAGAAGCTAGCTGGGATAAGGAAAAGCTTCAAACGTTCAACCTCTTGTGGTCTGCTACAATATTGGACCCTCGGACAAAGTCGTTCATCGTCAAAGGTTCTTTGCCACAACAAGATTTCTGGGAAATTGTTAAAGCGGAGGCGGCAAACATGGCTGGAACGAAAAAGAAGAGCAAAGATAACGGAAACGATTTCAAAGAAAGCTCTATCGTATTGGGCAGCGACAGTAGTCACGTGGGCGAGGATGGTGCCGATAAGGGCACCGACCTGTGGGACGATCTCCAGGCAAAACTGACATCTTGTGCTCAAGAAGAAATGCTGCTGAGCTCTGCAAAATCCTCGTTGGAACTTACAAAATCTAGTAACTTGCTGGAAGTGGAGGTGTCGTTCTTTCAGGAAGAAGGGCGTATTGTACTGCGCGCCAACCCCTTAGAGTGGTGGCAGAATATGCGCATGAAGTATCCGTTCCTAGCTCGATTGGCACGCTACGTATTGTCCATTCCGTGTAAGGTGAAGGTAGACGACAACCCAATTCGGTTTGACGGGGGCCTTGTCAAACGCGGACCATCGCAAATGAACATGGCAGATTTATGCGATCTACTTGCAGCTTCGATGAATCTTCGCACAGAAAAGAACCCGCATTTTGAGGCTGCGAGTAAGCATATGTGGTCGACGGTATGATACATGTACCCAGAAAATCAATCCATTATTGCGGCCTTCGTACCGCCATCTTTGCTCGCAGGCGCTCTTTCTGAGCCAGCAGCAACTGCTTCTTAGCGTCAAACAAATTTTTCATCTGGCTCTCATTATCTCTGCTTTCAGGAGGAGATAACCTCATTGTTGCTTGCTTTTGTTCAGGAACAGAGTCCTGAACAGCTGCTGGCGGTTGAGGCTCCTGAGAGTCTATAGGTGATACTTGTGGAAGCGGAGTTGCACCTTGTAATTGTGATGGGTGGAACTTCGATCGAGAATCTCGATCACAGTCACGTGTAGGTTTCACTGCATTTACTGCTTTCCTGAACGCTTGTTTCGTTTTAGAGCGAGGACCCTCTTGCCAAACCCCACCAAAGTTTGGCAACCAGTCTTGACCACATACCGATTTCGACTGAAGCTCTGAAAAAATGTCTCTCCTCGTTTTGTCTGCCTTGCTTGTCAATCGAGCTGGTGATACAGACGACACGACCGGCATTCGATAATTGCACTTCTTGTACTCCTCTTCCGTTTGCACCATCCAAGGCGGTACAGCTGCAGTGTGTACATTTCGTACATTAGCAACCCACGACACCGGCATAATCGAGGTCAATCCGTCACCCTGCGCTATGTCAGTCACTCGATGTGTAAAGGTAATGCCCTCTACCCCAGTCTCTTGCATGTCTAGCTTATCAGCCTGCTCTTCCTTCACCAGTTGATCAATCGCCCACGGTATCCACTGGTTCATTCGTAATTTTACAATGCCACCACCCCACACGCGTTTACCTTCATGTCGTCCAAGAGGATTCTGCAATATTCCTTCCGACGATAGAATCGTCTTGCAACGTTTTCCCAATGCTAGATGGGGTCCTAGCAAAGCTTCCTGTTGTTCTCTCGTCACCGTTACAACCGGAATGTCTTCACCCATTCTAGAATTCATTTTTTCTACTTGTTGTAGTCTAGTAGCAGCCGACGACAAAAAGGCTTCAACTCGTTCACTTGTTGTTACACGCTCCTCTACCTTTTCCTGTTTTTCGACATGATTGTTTGCCATTTTACCGGTACTTCGTCTCTTCTCCAACTTCTCGACACACACAAAGGGGTAAGATAAAACATGTGAGAGATTCACACCATTTTAAACATACCACATCAACACCTCTCGTTCTTTTTTCTTGCCTACCTCACGCCATTGTGCCGCTTGTAACGAAAGTTGAGCTCGCATTTGACGCTTCACATCACATCGATAGTGTCGACAAAAGGTATCCACTTGTTTTCGGTGTAATGTACTTGCAACATGAGCCAGGGCTTCGACTGTAGCTACTGCCAAGTCACAAAAAACACAACGCCAAGAATCCGACAACTTTGATGTCACAGTGTTACAAAATAATACCTGGAGTCGGTTGATTTGATGCTGAAGAAATTGTTGAGCGGCCTTTTGATGTCCATGACAAAAGACATGCTTATGCCATTTAATTATACTTGAATGACGACATACAATACAATAAGGCGCTACTTTTACCGTGTCGTTCATGGTCATGAAAGTAGGTGTAAAGCATTAGGTAATTGGATTCAATGGGTTTTCAATGTGCGACTAGTTTATTGAATCGCATATATTGTGTAAGCCAATTGATTGGAAAAGACGACACCACTAGTTTAATATGGCGTCATGGCTACAGTTCAGCTGTTGGGTAAATGTCATACCGTAGTTTGTAGAGAGTAGAAACATTTCTGGGTTAAAAGCACGCCATGAACTGAGACGATGAAGTAAGTGGTCACTAGATATAACTTAAACCTGATCGTCCATGTCAAAACATACTGCCCTTAGAAGCTCCAATCTCTTGGAACGAAAGTTGCAGTGCATATGGTCAGTCTAGTCTGCCCTTTGGCGACAACAACTGTAAGTCACATTATTAGTGGTAATGGTGATTGCTACAAGTTTGGAGCACAAACAGCACGAGCACGTTACAGTGTCGTCCAAATGATGATCTCGTCAGCAAACGCCGAGAATATCCAGTCGTTTCGTTTGGTCAACATCCAATCGCGGTACTAGAAGTACCACAACTGGATATTGGCCGCATTACATCGTTAGTACGATTAACAAAAAGCTACGAAGTAGTCAATTGTGCTCTAACATTGGTCAAAGTGACCGAATGTATATACAATGTGATGAACATATATGTGATCTATTTATCGATGAAAACAGAGAAAAGAGAGACGTGACAGGGAAACCTATTGTGTGCAACCAACCCCATGTGTTTAGATTATATGTCTTGTTATTATTAATATTCGTATCATCTATCGATCATCTGTTGATCCAAACAAACTTGTTCTTATAACCCCAAAAGGTACCTACAATTTATTCGTCAGCGATTTTCTATACACGTCCTGTCTGTTTTTCTTTTCTTGAGGTTTTTCTTTTCTTCAGTTTATTTCTAGATTAAAAAACAAGAGCGGAACGCTTGAAGCTACATAAACAAGACATTACTTGAATATAAACACACAAACCCCAAAGCCAGATAGATCCTTAGTCAGTCAGTCATCTCTATTAGAAAAAAAGGGACCAAGGGTACGATATTGTGCCGTTTAAAAGCCATCACGGCTTTTGTTCATTTCTATGGGACCTTCTACTTCATTGCAATTAATGGAAAGTGAACGACCAGTGTCTTCATCGTCATATTTTGAACGTCCGATACCTTCCTGTCGTTTATTGCTTCGTGTTTACTCAGCGGAAGGATTACGTCATGTGTCGAGTTATGGTACTTATTGTAAACTTTATATTGGTAGTACTGAGATGATCCGTGGTAGTGGTGGGTTTTCTCTACGGACACAGAAACTCAAATCATCAACGTCTTCGCATAGTCTTGGAGGATTGTTACATTCTTCGTTTGGTTCGACCACTCGTAGCAACATGGCAAATGTTCCAACAATGCCCATACCTTCGACATCGTTGTCCGAAGGTGATTTAAGTGAAAATCGAAGCAAGATGAGAGTATTGAAGACAAATGTTCAAAAGGCCAAACGATCGGATCCCGTTTGGAATGAAAAATTTGATATTCCAGTGTATGATATGAACGAAGACATGCTGAGTATTCGTGTCAAGTCAGCAAGACTTATGTCGTCTCCTGCTATTGGAGCATGTGCTGTCTCGCTGAAACATTTGACGGGAATGGGAACTGCTACGATTGATCGATGGGTGGATTTGAGACAAGGGAAGAAGAATGCAGGACGCATTCGACTGCAGTTGAGACTCGTAGAATCTTCTATTGCGAGGTTACAAGACAGTGAATTGACGACACGAGCACGGAATCAGCAGAATCGTGATACTCATTTGAGTCTACCTGAAGAGGAAACGCCTGAAGAGGTTGCTCGACGGATGAAAAAGACGTCGAGACGCGACCATAAGTATCACAGATCTGCGCAGCATTTTGATGGACGACCTGTGACTTCGACAGCCTTGGGAAGTAGTAGTGGCAGTAGCCGATCAGGTAGTGACAAGGAGGAAGACCAGAAACGTGCTGCTAAGAATCGAGACAATAGTGCAAGTGCGACATCGAACGAGTCTATCGACGACTCAGAACTTGCTAGCGATGTATCCTCTCCTGGCGTTTCTCCACGGCCTGACCGAGCATCGAAAGAAGGTAGCTTAGCATTGGAAAATACGATTCCTACAGTGCGTGAGAAGACAGCCGGGAGAACGAAGGTGTCTGCTTCAGTGGCAGCAAGTGCGGTGGGATTGGATGCGTCATACGCACAACGCGGCATGATGACAAGATCAGAATTGGGTAAGTGATGTTGTTGTTTATGTATTAGCTGCTGGTGGAGTGTAAACTAATGTAGGATGGTTGTTTCCGCGACTGTAGAATGCTCGCAAATGAACATGGTCGAGATTTCACGAGAGTCTAGAATATCAAGATCATCACGAAGACTGAAGCAACAGGTTTCTCAAGAAGATGAGGATGATGACGATGACTTTGATGCCGAACATGACAACAGGGACAGGTCAACAACTCACAGGATAGGTACTCACACGAAGTTGAGTGTGTTATCAAGCATCCTGGACCCTCGGGAAAGTTCCCGAATGGGTTTTGACGACGACGACGATGATGATGAGTGGGGTTTCCTGGATAAGAGGGATAAGTCAGTCAACAACGAGTCTGCGTCTTTTGTGCTGTCAACCGCGGCCTCTAGTACGCATGAACCGCGTGACAGCTCGCGGTTTAGTTTTAGCGATAGTGAAAGTGATGATGAGGATGACAGTGATGATGAGGTCAAGTTGGAGAAGGCACGCGAGCAGCAACGACAACAGTGGCAGATGGAACAACGAAAGATGCAGCTTGCTGGGATCAAAGAAGTCTCTCAGTCGATGTCGGACAATGAGAGCGACGATGATTTGGAGGACGAGGACGAATTTGACGATGAGCTTGTGCTCAATTCGCCACGAATGCATTTTACTCCGACGATCACGACGCTTTTAGGTCGTGAGAGTACGAACGTCTTGATTGATGATGAGGAAGACGATGAAGATGAAGAAGAAGATTTTGGATACTACAAGATGAGCGAGGACTTTATACCTATGCTTGAAGCATTTTCTCCAATTTCTGTTGATTCCATCGACTGCGCTTTGCGCCGATCAAGTTTTGATTGAGGCCTTATTTACCATACTGAAGTGAAGCCACATCGAACGAAAGCAGTTGTGATCCAAACACGAGAAGCTCAGCATCTTTGATTTCGTCCGGGCGTCAATGTTTCGATGTATTGCGTGTCGCTGTGGATGACGGATGAGTTTAAGAGAAGCTTTAGCATCTCGGTCACTTCTTGTTTCGTAGATAGTATCAAAGAGCCAAGTGGCATAAATAATATTATGATGAACATTACGGGAATCAAGAACTTGCTACTTGTGCACGATAAGTTCTTGATCGGACGAAGATGATGACAAGTGTACTCATATTGTTGGTAGTTGACAGAGAGTAGCGATGAACAGCACGATATGATCACTTGACATGACGCAAGTTTGCTGAACTCCAAATGATTGTTTCACGAAAGCACTTATCACTTTGTCTTCTCGTTTTGGTGAATCTCGACGTCATTTATTGACTCCATGACAAATAGACTCTTGAGGTGAACTCTGAATACGTTGGAGATAACTTTTACCGAGTAACTTGTCAATGACAAATTTGGGTTCAGGCGTCATGACCAATCGCTTGACGTTTTGCACAACACAAATCCAGAGAGACTTAAGACAATGTTTGTATTCCGGCAATAGTACTCAACCAGACAAACTCAATTGCATTGGCGTGGTATCAGCGGAAGTTGCTAATAAGTCCAACACGCTGAAAGTCTTGAACATGATGTCAAATGATAAAGGAACGTGACCGCTTGTGCAGAACAATGTAGCCGATTCAGATACGAAAGCAGTTCAATAATTCTTGGAGGAGCAACAGACGTCCATGATAGTAGCGCTATGCGAGGGCAATGGCGCATTCATGACGTGCGACGAATATAGCGATCAAGCATAGAACTCGATGCCAACGATGCAAAGAACCAACACTTTTGCTCAATCTGTTTGTGCACGCGCACCTCGGCAAAAAAACACAAGACCATTGTATCAATGCCGATGACGACTTTCATGCATCGACGATTGTTCAAAGCCTAAAGGTTGCAACCACGACAGAACTACCAACGCGTGCAACTCATAGAAATTAGAATAAAGTGAGAGACAAGTGGGCCAGTCACGTGCTAAATATCTTCGTTAGTCCGTCAATCTCTTACAACATTCTTCAGTTCGTAGCACACTTCGTCAAACAGTCGGTCACTACTATGTATACCTCCTATCCTTACACCCACGCTATGAGGCAACTACGCAGAAACCTTCTCGGCAGCCTTAGCATCCTTTTCTGCTAGCACCTTCTTGTAGCGATTCACCTGCGAGGCAAATGCCTGTTTACACTTTTCCGTAAATGGCATGCGCATGTCGTATGCGTCCTCTCCGTCCGCATAATAGCCCTTTTCAATGTCATACACCCTGTCACGATTACGTTCCAATACAAATAAACTGTAAATAACTTTTGCCTTCATTCAAAGTCTCCTCATAGTACGTACTGGTACTGAAGTGTGATGCGGTACAAGTGAATGGCAGCCAAATTACCCTCACGGACGTGCAACGACACGTACTCGGCTTTAAAGCTTTCGACCATAGCACGCTCTGCATTAGATAAACAGCAAAATATCGCTGTCAGTCGATGATGACTGTCACTTATAAATGAAACAGCAACATACGAGCAGCCTGCATGAGCTTAGTAGCAATGCCGCACTTGCGGTGTGTACGCAGCACTGCCAACGATGTAATGTGGCCATGGGGCACTGATGCCTCTTCTTCCCTATAGTATAACAACACAGAGAGATCCGTCAGCTAACCTTGTCTTTCTCTCTTGTAGAATATAATATCTCCACCATCACGGACATCTTAGCCAGCACGTAACCAACAATCTTGCCACCACGTTCCTCCGCCACATAAAGAAGCTGCGGCCACGTCATGATATGGTAATAATAATACTTCATCTGATAATTTTCTGGTAGACACCAGAGATTGGAATTTTGCACCTGTAATAGATCATGAGCCTATATAACAACAAGAGAGAAAGAAGCGTTCGAATCACTATTTACCACGTCTTTATTGGCATATTTTCAACGCTAGATACCGCACGGTAGAGCATATAACACACACATACACACATAGACCTGTGCTTTGTACAGCACTTAGACTATTTGTATATTCGACTACATAGCAACGTAATCAACATACCGTTGCATTCCGTATTGATACCATCACCGACTTTACTGTGTGTGTCGTCGGTCTTGCTTTAGTAATGGAATTGTGGATGGCGTGGCAGTGCGGAATTCGGTTAAATACGAATTGCCCATGAATTTAGAAACCTTACAAACTTGAAGGTTAAACATTCACTCTTTGCATTCCGCACTCTTGCGACGAGTTTTAGTATTGAATTTACCCTCTCTTGCATAAGTCGCCCAAGCCAATCAGTCAGTCAGTCAGGCAGTTAGTTTGTCAGTCAGGCAGGCAGTTAGTTTGTCAGTCAGGCAGGCAGCCAGTTGTACAAAGACCTTTCTAGCTTCAAGTTTCTCCCCTTCCTTTGAAGTATACTAACTCTACTATTGAGACGCAGAGCAGCATGAGTGAAGCTGTAGGTGATGCCTTGAAGCTTCGCCTTAAGCTCAAGCTGCCGCGCTCGATACCCAGTTCATCCGTTGCTGAGAAGAAGCTGCTGATTGGCGCGCATGGTGGCGTTGCCGTTAAGGAGCTATTAAGTACAGCACCTAACATTGAAGTAGCGATTCGAGAGTTTCAGGCGGCCCATGGCATCTCAGAAGCGCATGCACAGTTGTTTGTACGCAAGGAAGCGAGCAAGGAAAAAGAGAGACCAACAACGTTTACTCCTGCCGTAGAACTACTGGATTTACTGCAAGTACCACGCTCTAGTGTATATCAGTCAGTGTTGGATCAGATGAAGAAGGAGATGTTGCTGCGCATTGCAGACTTGCCACAAAGTGAACTGCCTCGAGTATTGGAGCAGACGTTTCCGTATATTGAATTTCGAGAGCTACGAGCAATTCCAATTGCTGTATTGGCTCGTCAGGAAGAGACTCCTGAACTATACTTGCGTGAATTGACCGAGAATCGACGCATTCTCGCGGAGCTACCTGTCCATGTGAGGAGGAAGATCTTGCAAGTGGATAGAAGAGAGCTCGATCTTTTAGTAGAGGATTGCACGCGTGAGTATGTGACGGAACAGTTGAAGTGGTATCTTCACCATCCGACGTCAGGACCAGTGACTGCACAGCGTTTGTTAGCAAATCGAAACAACAACAATTTTGTGCGAACTAGTAGTCAAAGCAGGAAACGCAGCTTAGATGAATCGGGAGGTGGGAGTCTTTGGAATGTCTCATGCCACGTACCGTCTTCCGCTGATGCTACCGGCTCGTCGTCAACGGCGGCGTCTGGATTTAGCAGTGGGCGACGTCCTTTGTACTCTCCCGATGAGCGCCGACGGAATAACCCGGCGTTGATGAAGCTAGTAGAAATGCTTGGCGACTCTGAGGCGCTATACTTGTTTACGTTGGAGATATGGCGCGGTTACGTGGTGGCTGCGAACATTCCTGGTAGCGCAACGAACAATCACCCGAAAGAGTACGTGGATTATGTATCGCTTCTTGGCGCTATGCGGTGTGACCTTGCGAACCTTCATCGTGACAAGACGACAGCACTTTTGCGAATCGATCCATTGCATAAGTTTATTTGGTTTTTGGATCGAGCGGTGAAGAACCAGACCCTTGAAATTGCTCAACTCCATGAACTGCTAGGATTTATTGGTCGGTTACGCACATCGGACTTACCTGCGAACAAAAAGTTTCGAAAGAAAAGCGGTGCCGATGAGGAAGAAGAGAGTTTTGAAGTTGTATTGGGGCCACCTCCTGTGAATGAACTACTTGCAGTGCTTGACAAGATCACAAAAATTGATGCTCGTTTGATTTTTGCGGAGCCAGTACCTGATGATGTGCCAAAATATCGAGAGATTATCAAGGATCCCATGGACTTGTTGACGATGCGGAAAAAAGCCAAGCGCGGCAAGTATAAGACGCTAGAGGCCTTTGTGTCGGATTTCAACCTAATGATACGGAATTGTATGACTTTTAACCCGGACACGACCATCTTTTACAAGGAAGGAAAGCGAATCGGCAAGCGAGGCAACGAGATAATTGAGCGAAACGCAGCAGCTTTGCGTGGTGAGCCACAGCGGATACGTACCAAGAAACGTCGTAAAACTGGCACCGGTCCAACAAGTGAGGCTCTTACCATGCTCACCAGTTCAGGAATCGTCACGATTAAGGACTTTGGTGATGTTGACCAATCAGGAATGATTCCAGAAGGCTTGTGCGATGAGCAATTGGCGGATGTGGCACTAGTTTTGTCCGATCCGCTTGTGAAACAGCTTATTTGTGATGCTCTCATGAAGAACTTGGCGGTGTGTTGGCAGAGAAAAGAGCTGCCTACAGACAATTTGATCTGCCGTGCACTCGTCCAGCTTCTTCAAATCGGCAACCCGTCTAGCGTGCGCCGAATGATCCGAAAGCAGGACTTTGTGTTGCGTGCTCCACAAGTAGTCACAATGCGCGTCGTACTTCCGCTTTTGTTGCGCACGATGATTAACTTTCGAGTCTACTATGCGTTTCCGGTCGGACTACAGCCCCATTTGGAGTCAACTGCTAAGGATAGTGTTTTTAATGCCGCGTTGTGGGATAACGTGCTGCGCGCAAGCTCAGCAATCCGTGCTATGGCGAAGTCGTTTGCTGTACAATGTCTGGTAGACCGTCAGATTGATGCGGCGTCGCAGTTGTTACATCATTTACTTTTAGCAGAGGATGAATCACTGTTGCGTGATCGCGTCTTGCTTCATGCCGTAACTGAAGTTGTGTTGGAGCAAGTGAAGTTGGCTGCTGTAAGTACAAGCAGCAGCACTAATAGTAATATTGGGACAACATCTGCTGAATACGGTGAGGTGACGATGACACTAAGCGAACAGTTGCAAACCTTGGACGTGTGGAAACAGATTGTGGACGGCTTTTTTTGTTGCCGTTTTGGTAAAACGTATTGAAGCAGCCAAAGAGGAGACTGGGTTTCTTGTGCATTATATTGAAAGAGCGGTTGAAAAAGTCGAGAAGGAGTACGATACTACTGCCTCAGGCGAAACGTCATCAAAAAAGCGCAAGCGTCAACGTGATGTTCAAAGCTTTCCCACACCTGCATTCCATGAGAAAACAGTGATGATGCTGTCGTCTCTGTTTGCTATGGTGGAGAAAGGAGGCTCTGCGGCTGGTGGTGACGCAATGATTGCTTCGTATCTTAAGAAGACCTTGGGCGTATTGCGCAGAAGCTGCTTAAGTTTGGAAGAATTTGAAGCATTGTGGAGTAGTCCTGCCTTTGCTGGATGTCGATACTTTTACGAGCCGATGTTGACCAAAGTGCCTTTTGTTCGAGAGGAGTTATTTGCTACTTTATCATCAGATGTCAAGATTCAAGCTGACGATGTGTTTAAGAGAAATGTCGATTCTACCAGCGTTGATTTTGCAACGCATGGTGGTGCAAACGAAAACATAGAAGGTGCTGCTGATACGGGAGGGGACGCAACAATTGAGGTAAAAGATGTGAACATTGAAGCCAAGACTGATGATAGCAGTGGATTTGTCGCCAAAGCAGATGCTGAGCTGGGTGTAGAAAGAGAGAAGGCTATTATCGCTGACAATGCTACCTCATCCATTGAAGGTGATGCGCTAAATGCAGAAATTAAGGTTGAAGATACAAGTTCTGATGCCACAATAAAAATGACCACGGACATGAGCACAAAACCCGATAACACAGACAATGACACTTGGAACTTGGCTACTGCTTCTTGTAGCACTGCCAATACGTTAAATGCTGAAAATCCTGAGACCGATGCAGAATCTGTAAATTGCAGCGGCAACGACATGGATGTGAAGATGGAGGAAGTTGACGAGGTTTGTGAGCTGAAAGACAGCGCTGGGGTTGCTGACCCAGCATCCAATTCTCGTATTTCTGCTGACGCTCCGATCGTTATAACAGCAACGGCCGAAACCAGTAATGAGTCTCCTGTTCCAGCTACACTGCAAAGCGGCGAAGACGTAGATGTAGATGGTGAGGAGGGGAGCATTGTGGATATTAGTGACACACAAAAAGGAGTGATTGTAGAATCTACTACAGAGGAGCAAAGGGGAGGGGAAGAGGAGACACGAGTGATTGTAGAAGAGGAAAAGGCGGCAGCTGAGACGTAACGAGCAAAGCATACAATAGTAAGCTTCCGTTTGTTCATTGCTGGCTTCAGCCGCAGCCGTCGGGCCATGAGGAGAGCGACCGTTTTGCCGCTGGCTTTTTTGTACCGTAATGCAGGCGGCAAAAGCAAACGTGAGCTGGAAAAGACACAAGTCATAGAAAGACTTTAATAACCACACCACAGCACGATAATTGAGAAGGATTGGTTTCCAAGACCTTGAACCCGGGATAGATACGCTTTTGTATGCTGTCACCCTATAGTGACCGTCGCGTTTGCAGGTTTGACGAAGAAAGAGTATAAGGAATAGATTGTCAACTACTTACAAACGAGCGATGCCAACGTAAGCTTCTGCCTCTCTGTTTGTGCCAGCAATGCGTTTCTAGCTGTTTATCTGGATCGTCAACGGACATGAAAAAACTCAGACCGATACATGACACCATACGTAACAGCACCCGAGCTTGTACCCAGTGATGTGTTGTACAAATTGTTCAACTCAGCAATTGGCCAAAGCAGTTGGTCAAGTTCAAGGCGCTGACGTGCATGCCAATCTCCACGTCGTCGTCCATGACGTGAATGATTATTGGTACGATAAACGAAAACCAGACGGCAGACGTTATTACCACAAATAGCTACGACAAACACATTGTAGTCCTTGTTGGTGATCCAAGCCATGACAAGCAAAGACATCTGACTGTGAGGACCCACTTGAGACCAAACAATGTCAAATCAATAGCATCGCACTTTTATGTTTGTAGCTTGCGGTTATGTGCGCAGTATTAGTAGTTTCAAGGCAGCAACGTGTAGCTGCTCTCATTATGTACTGACTATCCCTCTGTCTTCATATCCAGACAAAGATATAAGCTATCAAACTGTCCGGGCATACTCGGAACAATAGAAAAGCTTACAAGCTAGACAACTCATAGCTAGCAAAGCTCCAACTATTTTGCAAGTCTAATACTCTTAATTATGCAACTGCAATGACGTTGATTTGATTGTATCGTAGCTATCTTGTCCTTGACGATTAGCTAAGCCCATTTCTAATCAATCCATGCTTTCATTCTTCATTCAACTTCCTTTGCAGCGCAAGACACAACGTGTTTATTTCTCGTATCAAACATACACATAATGATAGATATCGAAGCTAGTTCTTTAGGCTATGAACCTCATGCATCACCTAAGCTTGAGTCAGTCAATGGTGAGGATGACAAAACCCTTTCCCATCCGTCAATTTGGTTGCTACTTGCAGTGTCAATGCCGCTCAGCATGGCCTGGTCTGCTTAATGGGCTGCTTTCGGTCCGTACCTATCGACAATGCTGTCAAGTCCTGCAATGCAAGCTACTCAATTCATTGGACCTATCGTTGGTGTTATTGTCGGACCCAATATTGGTGTCTTTAGCGACCGCACCACGTCCCGTTTTGGCCACCGTCGACTCTGCTGGATTTCTCGGTGTCATTTCCTGGATTACTATAAGCTACAAGCGTCAAATTGGCGACGCTCTTGGAGATCACGGTGAAAATTAGTAATACAGAAGCGGACAGCACACACATCATTTCTTACCACTATATTCTATACCTGGATGAACATCACGGTCAACATTGAGAACGAACAGTACAAAACGTATGTAATTGAAGCAAAATTTACGCTAGTAGCTCTTTTGCTTCTGAATTATACGCTGCCGATAGAGCTGTTTAGATGGCCAAGATTAAAATCTGTCTCCGTATAAGCGCACAGCTGAAAATTGGCAAGTAAGCTCGTTGCACTATGGTCAGCCGCAAATACGAGCACAAGATAATCTCGTGTCGTACCTTGTATCGAGCACCACGTTGTGAGTCAATACCGTGCGAAGACAATGTTAATACCTAGACGAAATACCGTTGCGGCGCATTTCTTGCTAGAACTTTTTCACAAAGCGACGACACGTTGTACATTTAAGTCGAAAGCACCGCAATACCACGGATGGGCCTCGTTGAGATATAGCAAAGTGTGTTATTACTTTTGATCCTGTTCTTCCTGTTGTCCAGAATTAGTTGGCCTCTCGACAATTAGGGTATTTTCAAAAGCCAAGTCAGCTTCGTTTTGCTTTAACAATGGATCCGCGTAAGGGCCCAGAACTATCATTACTGTCATTTTCGCCAATGCTATTTCCAGTAGTAATAGAAAAGGTCGTCGGTGATTCAATATCTGCCTTTCGTCTCAGAGGAGTAATTGCTGAAAGCAGCAGTACCTTCCGGGCGTAACGGGTAGAATCGACCATATGGTGCCCTAGGACGATGACGTTGGTATGTGATTGCCAAGGTTGTGCCGACAATACGATAGAACTCCGCTGACGATCGAGCAGGACTATCTTCGGTGCCACGACCTCTTCTCACCCCACTTGCTGTCACTCGTCTTATGCAGATAGCCACATACATACTCTTCGTACCTTGAGACTCCGACGAGAACGAGTTCCTGCGGACATGGCTGCTGTCTTATCATGATTGTGCTGGTCGCCAGTATGGTGCTATTCGTCAGTATGGCGCTGTTCGCGAGTATGCCAGTATGGTGCTGGCCGCTGGTATGGTGCTGGTCGCCGGTATGGTGCTGGTTGTCATTCTGAGATAGGCCAAATTGCAAGATGCTTCGACCCACGTGGCCGACTCGAGAAATGCCACCACCGACGGCTTTATGTATATCCCCATCTTTAAACTCAACGCGAGCGTGAGCCTCCAGAACGAACCTGGGCTTGCCTTGATTGTGCTACAGAGTCGTCGGACGGGCAAAGAGGATCTTAAGCAGCATGTGTACTGATGCCGTATCAACGTGTTGCTCCTTTTGGGTGCTTACGCTACTCGTACCGTTGATGGTGTCGTCTTGACAAGCGGTGCCGCGTCTTTCTCAAAGCACTAGTCAACTCATCGTTCCCCTTTTCTGACGTGACTTACTGCTATCGCAGAAAAAGAATTTTGGGACACAGAGGCATCACCACCTTCGTGAGATGGTCCAAGCCACGGATCCCATCCGAGTCTTCATTACCCTGTCTTCGTCATCTACAAAATCAAAATATCTGAGCGAATTCGCGTTTGGTTCGTTTTAGCAAGACGAGCTAGAATCCATGTAAACCACGCCTTTGCTTATTTAGTAAGTGCTGGAAGTATGAAACGAAAATGCGATCAGCGACATACAAACTCAGCACAAACTCTTGACGATTGCAATTGAAGTTCTTAACAGCGCATAGAGGGAGAAAAATTTAGCAAGAAACTGCAGTATGCCAAACAAGACGCCAGTACGATTTGCCATTGAAAGCACTGCAAAATCTTCCTGATTGTCTCGAGCCCGTGACTTGCGCACATTTCTGCGAATATGCTTCGGTCTGGCATTATTCCTTAAAACCGAGGCTTGACCCATGTAATATTCATGAGTAAAAACCGGTAGAGTGACTGACGTGATAGGTTATCCTGGACAGCAACATGTTTGTATTGAAAATGGTATTGGAGCTGGTCTTTGCAGAAGGCGCCTATGCGTGCACGAGAGCGTCTGCCAGGTCTGTACGGCTGCATATAATCGTGATCTTGTCTGACCATACATTGAAGGTGGTATAGAAAGAATGCCAGTAACAGTACGATAGCTAGTAAACGGTACGATAGCTAGTAGACAGTAACGGTAGCTTAGCAAGCACAGAGAGATGACAATAACAACAGAATCAAATTCACCCTCATCCAAATAGCTATTTCCTACAATTTGGTGTTTGATGGTTTTTTTGTGCACCATGACTTGTCCAGCAAGTTCTACCACCTTCTCAAGGATGCAGTGAGCAAACAATGGCACCCGAAAATCTGTCGGACATTTTTCTGGGCCAAGAAAAAGAGCAGTATCATTGCGTTTAGTCACAACACCAATACATAAAAGAAAAGCTGACTATGGCGATTGGAGCCAACACTACAAGGTTTGTACTTTTATTTAATACTACTCTCCTTCTCCACAATACTAATGCCACATCATTTGTTGATGACAGCATCCTCATTCGAAGCAACTTCGCCAGGATGCCTGGTGCAACGGGAACTTGATCTCCGCTATCCAGTGTTTATAGTGGTTTTGATGCGGCTTGGTTTTGATGCGACGAGTAAAACAATTGCAAATCATTTCGTCAAACAAGACAATTTTTGGCTCCCGTGTTCTCTCGGGACCGTCTCTTCCTTAACTTTTCCAGCCTCTTGTCTTTTCTAGCTCTTGTCTTTGATAGTGCCTTGTCGTTTCTAGCCTTTTGTCTTTTCCAGCCAAATACTGGTTGCAAAGGGCAATATTTGCCTCTAAATTTGCGTCGACTATCTTTTTAGACACAGCCACGTTGTCATAACGCATGAAATCGGACTGGCTCAATGCACTAATACCGGTTGGACGACTTGGAGTATCAGCTTTGTGTAAGCTATTAAACAGTCGCTGTATAAAGAATATCTCATTCAAATGCCCACAAATTCTCAACTTTACTGTTTTTTGGTGAACGACACGCTGATGCAGTCTTTGTGAAGACGATGACAAGTTGTTGCGACATCACTGGCAAGAAAGTCTTACGTATGAGCTTGTATATCAAGTTCAAGCACACTGTCGCACACTAGTTCTGCCGTGAACAGAGCTGACTTTACTCTTGCCATTTTTGATAGCTCAGTCTATGTTTCAAATAGCATTGAATCAAGTTGCAGTTTAAACTAAGATATCCTGAACATTCGAAGGTCAATGCGCTTTTTTTTAATTTGCTGTACGCTTGTTTTTATCCTGGTCCATACAGTGATCGAGGTCGTTGATTGCTTTAGTAAAATATGCGGATCATAAGTACCACACTTTCCACCAGTTACAAATATCAAAGAAAGTGAGCGCTGCTCTACGTTGATCAGCGTGTAAGCTAAATTAGAAAAAAGCCGGCTAAGAAGGTCCTATTCTTGCACATTTTTTATTGCAATGACGATGTGGTCTTGGTTCAACGGCGAGACAGCTTCAGGCAAAAAAGCCTTTTAAACGGGTTATAAACGAGATCACAAGATTCAGTTTATTGTAGCGTCCATGTCTTTATATGAGAGAATTTTGAAGAGTAAAAAAGACTGCGTATTTTAGTCTTTGTAAATCTTTATTTGCATGAAAATGACACGTCTACGTTGTATGTATTCTATGTTGTTACGATTATAAAATGCGTTCTACGATTATAACTTTTTTCTTGTTAGTCTTATTTTGTCGTTGTCCATTTGAGACTTTGTCGAATATTGTGAAATTAAATCAAGAGATGCTTTAGAGATAAATCTGAGATCAGTATTGGGCTCTGCTTTGCTCTCTTTTGGTATGAAGTACGCTGACTGTCTTTTTGTACGGTATTTGTTAGACACGTCTTAGCCCATCCAGCAACTGACTGGCTTGATTCATACATACGATAACGTACCGTATCTCCAACGTCTCAAGCAGTTCGAAAAATCGATTCTCACTCTCTCGTTCGCCAAAAATTGTTTTCACTGCTTAAGCGCATCTACTGAAAGAATCATGCGCCTTCCGTCCGCCCTCATGTGTGGGGCTCTTGCTGCAAGCCTATTGCGTGATGTTTATAGTGCAGAACCACCAGATGTCTTCAGATCCCCGCCAATCAAACTGAAGCCTCTACGAAGAGGCGCTTAAAAGGGCAAAAGTCCTTACAATACAGCAATGAAGAGCGAATGAGGTTTTCTGCTCGGTTTGGGGTGTCTGGTTACGAAATCTCGCCTCTTCGCAGATTAGACAATAATCAAAAAGATTCCAGTAGGCCATATTGTCGAGATAGGAAGCAGCGCCGTGAAAGACGAGTATTTTGACCACCTTGACCTGGAAACCTTAGACCACCTAGACCTCGAAAGTTTGGAGCACCTTAACGCGGAAATGGACCACCTTAACGTGGAAAGTTTGGGCCGACTTGCTCTGGGTAGATTGAATGACTACATTAATGCTATCAAGTCATTGTCCGTTGACAGCCGAGCCTCGCTCCCGGAGACGTTTTTAGCCAATTGCAAGTACACAGAGTTGTTTCAGATCATTGCTGTCGGAATAAAAGTCTTTGCTAATGAGATAAAAGCCATTACCCCAGAACAAAAGGCGATGGAATCTAATGTCGTTGAAACAGTTTATGAACTGGAAACGTGGTGAATAAAAATCGCCCCACAGCAAAAGTGATACAACACGTGCGCAAGAAAGCGATCAAAATGTTTGAGGAGACAAAAAGCGAAGAAACAAAGCAATGGATCACGTATATCAAACGCTACAACGAACAGGATCCTGGTTATGGAATCAAACCCGCTCAAACCACCAGAAAATTCTATACTGATGAAAGACTGGTTCAATGCGTTAACGCTTGTCCAAAACTACAACGAACACCGGGCTAACATTGGAACAAGAGCATTGGTTAAGTTTGAGAATACATCCAGGCCAAGTCTTCCGCAAGATAGGACTTGACGAGCCATTATTGGATATTTTTGAAGGTCGAAACCAACTAAACAGTTGGTTCACAGTGATGAATGCTTTCGAGAAAGCGTACCCCGGTGCAGAATTAAGCTTTCGCAAAATGTTCCCGTACGAAGACAAACAGCTGGTTGAAATGCTGTTTTATCACCAAAAGAAAGCGTTCAAGTCGATTCTCCAGGAAAAAACTGCTAGACCAAATACTTGATACCTTGACTGCAACTAGTTCTTCTCCAGTAAAAGGTTACGAGTTTCTTTCTGTTAAAGAAGGTGAAGTCCTGGAATTTGCGAGCCCTTGATTGGTGGTATGGCTGAGGTATATGAAACGTCGCTATCCACAGGTATCGTCCTTGTCGGTATTGCTTACGAAATATGGATTCGAAAAGCTCGGCGAGTGGCCTATAAGGCAAAGAGATGACCTAGCGTCAAAATTTTACGAAAAGAATGCAAGAATTGGAAAAAAAGCAGAAGGAAAAAATAGGATGACAATGATTGGGAAGCGACGGACAGCGCAATCTCTTTTTCGGCCTCCAAATTGCGATCCGTCTTTCTAGAGCTACACATGCTTGAATAAATATATCTGTCAGGGTGCATATGCTCTTGTGCACAAAAATGTCCCCTCCGCCATGGTGTACTTTGGGTAGGCCGAGGTAGATGCTTTTAAATCCAAATATCACTAAAAACTGCTTCATCTTTCACGTTGTCATCAACAGGTCACTTGGATAATAGTATGAAACCTGATATGTTTAAAGCTTACAGTGATACGCTTAGTCAGTGAAAAATGGTAGAATCTTTTTCCCTTATTTGCAAAGTAATCAGGTATTCTTAATCCCGTCCGTTGCCACTAGTAACAACCTGACATCATGCAGCATTAATGTAGTCATGCAATGATACGAGCATGCAAACAGTAAAGCACCTTCCACTTGACAATTCATCTGCATCCACCTTTGAAGAAGCAGCCAGAGACCGATTTAAGATAAATCTGTACTTGATTTGCTTCACCCCAGTAGCAAACGTTAGAACAAGTGTTCAGTTTTCGAGAGCACAACTAATTCGATTGTCCTGTTCTAGCTACAGAGCACAAATTTTTATGTGGTGTGTGGCATCTTGAAACGAGTTTGCTAATTCGTCACCACAATGTCGCCGACTCATGAGTTAACGATTTACAAGTTTTTACATCGAGCTTCTCGGACATCTAGCTATCAGGCCAAAGCCCAGACCCAACGGTGGCTCCTTTATTACGCTTATATTGACTGCATAGACTGAGACGATCGCACGCAAAGATTAATGCTCGCTTTCAGCAATACTTGTTAGGTCTAAAGCGAGATTAGAGTAGACAGACGGAAGTCACATCGGGTATGGAGCGAAACCGGCCTTTGATCTCAAGATATTGGAATTCTTTTGGAACCTTATTGTCCATGCACGTGGCTTTCTTCAAGCTTTCAATTACATTCTTAATTTTTTTTTAAAAAATTCTTCAAGTGAAGATATGTTTTACGAGTTTTTAATGATGAATACACACATGACAATATATCTATGCAGTCAACGCAGGGGAATGGCTCACATGTAAGGTAAGTTATGAATGTTTAAGAATTGACTAATCGCCAATGCGAGTGTTTATGTATAATGATAATCCTTGCAGGGAGATGCCGTGGAAGATAAGGAGAGCAGCATGATGTAGCCAAGAAAGAAGAAATGTTATCGTCAAAGTTGATGCGAGAAATCTTTATACATGAGCGAGCTACTACTTTGAAACAACTTGTCATGTCGTGTTGTCTATATTGGTGACTGAGGGTGTTTTTCGGAGTCGACACTACGATGCAGTGTTTGAAGAAGCTTGGGAGACTTACTCTCCATGGAAGCGTTTCTGTACATCTTGGCCCTGTTCTACAAGTTTGTGGAGATCTTGGTTGAAGCTGCTCTTGTTTGCTTGTGATACAATATTGATGTGCTATCGTTTTTTTACGTTGAATGACTAGAGGCAATACTGAGGACCGTATTAGCACAAACCATCATCCGTGAAAATATGTACGTTGAAGATATTGTAAATCGTGATAGACGAACTTTAAGGCGTTTAGGGACTACTGGCAAGACAACGGGGTTAATGGTAGATGTAAATCAATAATGAAGAAAGATTTACTGCAGAAAAGGACTAGATCTACCCACTTAAGTACCTGGACAATTTCATGTCACTCCCAAATCAGTTCTACGCTGCGTTTGAAAGGGTATGATTTCCAAAGCAGTCAAAATCGCAATATACAATGTATCCCGTCAATAACCAGTTGTCATGGAGGCAAGTGATTTGATTGGAACCGTACATAGTGCTGTTAGGCCTAATTCAGTGCTTTGGCACAACATTGCTATCCTTTACCCTCCATCCCACTGCCAACGACTTTAATGGCATTAACTTGCAATCAAGAGTTTGTGCTGCGTTTATATGTCGCTGATCGTTATTTCGTTCTTTACCTTTAGCACTTACTAAGTAAGCGAAGGCGTGGTTTACAGAAATTTTACGAACAAAAGCTCGTCTTGTGGTTGAGCTCGAAGTTATCAAGTCAGTGAAGCGAGGACATGTCAACCACTCTGAAGCAGGCCCATGTGGTAAAATCATCTTGCTCATTTCGGCTGAGTCTAGTGGAAGATGGATATATGTGGTCAGAGGAGATATCGGTTTGATGTCGCAAATTCCCATTTTCTACTTTATCCAGCATTACACGACCTTATCGATGTAGCTACGCACGCAAGCGTGCCAAAAATTTCTTGTACGGATCTGTAAGCGCCTCGCTCCCAAAATCATGTAGCAGTGCTACACACTGCAAAAAGCCTGCATGAGCCGCATGGCTCAAGTAAGTAGTTAAAGATAATAGTGTCGTCGCATGTGCAAGCTGTGTAGGAAACCACACCGCACGTAGCCTCGTATATGCCACACTAGGATCCAGTTAGTGTTCGAATGCGTATAATCGACTAATGCCAGTTCGTCAAATACCAAAAAGGTAATGCTTGTGTGTACAACTAGCGGCCTAACGTAACAGCGAAGATGTCGCTTAAGCCCGAAGCGCTGTTCCAACGTGTCTTTGTTAGAAAGAAAAAAGGATATATTATGTAAATTAAAAAAACTTAACTTAGTTTTTGAGCCTAAAAATTCATATAAGAAACCACTGTAATTTCGCTAAACTAGGCTCTTACTAAACTCACCATTGCCAAATTCCAACAGCTTATAATATGGTCGGCATGATAACGCATTCGCCACAGAATTTTGCTTACCCAACTATCCTTCACATCGAAGTTATATCAGCGCTGAATGAAAGCCAACGGATTATCCTCTGCAAGAGGCATGGCGACTGTGTTGCAGTACGTAATGATGCGTGGTCTGTACAGATCACAAACGCTATGATCCAAGCAGATGAACTCTGATTTGACAATAGCATACTTCATAGAAAGCAGCTCTTTGTCATGGACTGGGTAGTTCTTTTCTGCATTCTTAAGTTGGCGCGACACAAAAGCGATCACACGCTCATGCCGATCAGCGTCTGCTTGAGGCAGTGCACAGACTAGCGCCCAGGATCTGGCTGATCCAGAAATGGAGCCCGAAGGAGACTGTCCATCACACCAATTTAAAATCATCGTGTTTTTCTGCTTTCAACACCACCCAACGTACTTTCAAAGGAATTCGACAATGCCCTAGCCAAATTATTAGCGTAATTCTCGCTATACTTATGCAAGTAGTTGGCGAGTCCAAGCCACTTACGTAAGTCTTTATGGTTCTTAGAAACCGGTCAATCTACTATGTTCTTTACCCGAGCGGAATGTCTCGAGAGCATCGCTTCCTAATAAAGCACTATTGTAGATAAAGTACGCTACCGCACACTGAGATGCCATCGGATCCATACTTCCTTTGCTGGAGGCGCACGACGATGTCGTATTCAGAAAACGTATTTACGAGGTTACCTCCGGTTGGAGGTGTGCGTCACGAGATCAAATTATGTCCAAGAAACAAATACTGCGTGCCGCGGCTGCAACGCGTGACGATGCCTCGATAACAATGCGACCAACGTGATACCCAAAACTTGATAAAATCATACTCAGCCAACAATATTCTCGTCATACAAAAAATATTTAGCTCCAAAGATTTTAAAAGACGGGATTAATTTGGTATAAATTGGACAATGTCGTCGTCATCCTTCTGCATTAGCGCGCTGCCAATCTATCGGCGTCACAGCCATTCAGTTGTGGTAACTATTTGTTTTGTCAGAATCATGGCAGGCAAATGTTGGCCGTCCAAATTTCCAGCCACTGCCAATTCTACAATGTTGATGCTTTGGTTCGGACCAGATGTAATTTTACAAGCAGTCAGTTGATTTGTTGATATTTTATGGTCGGAATAGATGAGCCTTGCATCGCAGACGACGCTAAAATGCGTATTTGCGTCTGTCAATGCCAAGGCTGACTGCGACCGCTTCACTGATGTGAGCGCATTTTCCTGGTCCGTCAAATTCTGTGTCCTTTTAAGAGCATCAGAGAATTCCTTAGGCTCTCCATAATTCTTCCTGTACTGAAGCAACTAATGCAAAAGTCCAATAATGGTGCAGATCAGTCACACGTCGTAGGATTGGACATCAGCCCAGTACATGTATCTTAGAGACTTCTATGACACATTTTTTTAAGTTGACATGCAATCTGGTAATCACGTAGAGTCTTCATCCAGCTATAAACGTAGATTGTGCGACTTTATTTCTCGCAGACCGTCCTCAACCCTGCTATGGATGATTGCGTCGTCAAAGTAATGGGGCGCGTTGCCACGGTGTCGACGCATCACGTGTGCCACCTCTCGTTTAAATGTCGCCGGTGAGTTGTACAACGCCTGTGTATTTACAAGCTACTCCCAAAGCATAGCGCTTGGGGTGCTTGCCGTAATTTTGGCTTCATCTATTTCTCTCAGGCGTATCCGATAGCAACCATCCTTCAGATTCAGTGGGAAAAATTGACCTCAATGGTTTTGACATGACATTATCGTGTGGACGCCATTTGCGCAAGCATTGTGCCCGTATACAGCTTCTTGTAAGCGTAAATGAATATCCAACAACTTATGGCTTTACCCACGCAGAAGTCGAACTGCATTGAGGCGATTTGCTCTCACGTGCATGTTCCGCATCAGCTCGCTTGTCAAAGCGATCATCAACGTAATCGACTTATTTGCTCGAGAACGGCCATAGCCTGGTCACACAATACTTGGTGCCAGGTTTTAGGTTAGTTTCGTGTCTGATGCCCCTATCGGCCCGTCGGTGGCTTAGCACTTCATCTGGGAACACTTAACGTGTTTTCACAGAACTTTGTAAAACGTACTGTCCTTCCCAGAATCAAGCAGCAAGCTCTTTTCTTTGTCGATCTTCTACAATCTCTCATATATTGAGGACTACAAATAGCATCCTGGAACTTGGTTCAACTATCTCGTGGATCTCTCATTCCTTTAGCTTGGAGAGGAATAGAGTCCACGTCATTGGCAAGAGAATAAACATCTCCTCGGCAGATTTTAAAACAAGCTGAAGCACCCCAATCGAGAATTTCTTCGGCATCTTTCTTTTAATGACCGCGAACATCTTGTATGTATATCCGTCCTCTTGTACCGAGACTTACCAAAAATCAATTTCATAACGTGCTTTTGATCTTCCTCATTCGTCTGGTACTCATTGCTCCATTTACCACACGCTCACAGAGAGACGGAGCGTGCGAAGGACTATTATGATATCAGGGGTAGGCGGACGATTGTACACGCTTCCATGCACTACGCGCACACCTTCTTGCACTACGAGGAAGTGGTTTGGCCGCCAACTCTTGCGTGCAGCGAGGTAGTTGGCGTGCGCTTTGAGACGATCTCATTCAACACTCAGCTGTTCGACCGCTAATTGCGTCTCGTAAGCGGTTTACCATCTTCATGCACGCACTGTGGGTTAGGTAGAATATGTAAGACTGAATCTTATGGAAATGGTTTAGTTTAAATGTAGTTGATTTAGTGACTATGCAATGTTTGGACGCGCACTATGGTTGGATGCGGTCCCTATGTTGCAATCTAGATATGTTGAAGCTTAGTAATGACGTCAGTCCGTGACGTTTTTGGATATGCCAATTTTTTATCTGTATTGTATTAGACCTACCAAAGCAAAGCTACTTATGCAGCAAGTGCAGAGGAAGACGAATTCTACGAGAGTAATGTCTTAGGGACTAACAACTCGTTTAAGGCTAAATTTACAAGCTCGTGCCTTCTGGTTGTTGATTTCCACGTCTCAATAAGACCAGTATCACAGAAACTAATCCATTCTTTCAGAAAACGCTCTAGCAACAAACGCTATGCAGAGCAGGTTTTAAACTGATTTATTCTACGTTCATCGTCTAGCAACTACCGTATACTAAGTGCTAGTCAGTGTATGCAACTGGTTCTGTAGCCTTCTTTATATATATACATACTCATCCACTATGGCCACGATGATGTGAACTCTTTGTACCTTAAGTACGATAATATTAAACCGTCAATGATCCCAAAGTACAGCCACACCAAAATGGTGTGGTAGGTGTGTCTGTAAAATACACCATTACACGTATGATACACTTAGTGTGCATCACATACTTCTCGGGTTGGGTACATTAAAAATATAACCCAAGTGCGACCGTTTTTTACACTTGCTCTGTCGAACGTGTAATTGAGATTCCATTTCGTTGCATACTGAAAAAAATCCTGGTAACGCCTTCCCGGAAGGCTTTGGCTAGCTGATGCTAGCTCGGTGCTTTGCAGCATCCGTCATTTAGGACGGATTTCCTCTCCCCTTTACACACCTCTCTCTTGTCGTTCTCCCCCAGCCGCCAGCCAAGCCGTCACGATGTACGCCGCCACACCGGAAACCCCAAAGTCCCGGCATATCCGCTTAGGTACGCTCGCGTCATTCTTTGCTCACGGTGCAAGCAATTAGGAGCCCTGTTGACAAGATGGACTTACAAGCACAAGTCGGCAAGAAACCACGCTGGACACCGCCGTCGACTAACCCCAGACCTGTACCTCCTTCGCCAATGTACGCAGGATCGCGCAGTCTGGACAGCCTTCAGCGCGCCGCTTATTGGGCCCTGGCGAGAGTAAATAGAAATGAAGAGAAGGGAAGATAACCTGACGCATGCGGATGTCGAGCCACTTCGGTAGAAATAAGGCTCGCGTAAAGCGTTCACATACATACTGAAAAGGGTACCGACAGTAGGATCTTTGACATTTTGATCCAAGCTTGTTTTTTACCGAAGAAGGCTTATGAAGTAATCTATGCTCGACACTTATAACGGGTGGAAACACAAACTGTTTGAGGTCCTGCTTCTGGTTGTACGCACAACTCAATCTTGAGACTTTGCTTCAGCAGAAATTTGTCTAGTAACGGGTCTAGAAAGACGTTTGTGTTGCCGTCAAAAAGCTTTAATCAGTCGTACATGTCGGTTCTTCAACTGCGGCGATCTTTACAACGATCAAGTTTATGGCTTAAACTCGCTAAAGGAGATTTGTCAGGTCGTTTCAACAGCTAAAGAGAACTATTCGACCTTGGCTTTGACTTGTTTATCAGCTAGTGTATTTTGTCAACAGAAATATGAAGTGTACATCAGTTATCACCTTTTTGCTAAGCTAGCTAAACCCGCTTGTGACCTTGTATTGTAGCACTCTAAAGTAGAGAACGGTATCATAATCGAAACCATGGCCTTTGGTTGCAGCACAAATCGTGAGCTCAAATATTCCGCTTGAGCTTTTTTTCTCTTTCAGACCCTCGAGATATTCTTTGTATGTGCTGGCCTTGACATAATTGCTGGCAGCTTTTGTGTCCGCAGCAAAAACTCTTAGAAACGCCGCTCTCTCATTCATAGTAATAAGCTTATGATAGGAAACACCTACCACCTCCAATTCTTCATAGCTCACGCCTTTTTCTCAAAAGCCAAAATTGTTCAGCTCGGCCAATTGCTTCTCCTTTGCCATTTTATCATTCTTAAGCTCTGCGTTTTTCTTCGCATTCAGCTTCTTCAACTCGCGGCTTTCTCCGCCTTCCTTTTCTCCGCCTTCAGCTTTTCAAGCTACGCGGCTTTCTCCACTTTCAGCTTTCTATAATCAATCGCCCTCTGAAAAGTTTCATACCACTGGGTGAACTTCGTGCAAAGCCATTGAAAAGGTTTTTTTGTAATTCCATCAACCTGCACTATCCTTTCTTCATCTTCGGGCTCGTTTCCTTTCAGGAATCGGAATTCTTAAACTGCGTGATGCCAGACGCGTCGCAAGGTGGACTTGCGACTTGGAGCGAATGGTTGCTGAGACCTGTACCAGTCAAGTTCACCACGCTAATCGTTTCGAATGCTGAAGCAGGCGTGGCGGATCGCGCTGATCCCAAAGTTTTACGAGCATACCGTCTTCCGCAGAGTCAAACATGACCAGCTCACACATCAGCACACCATCCAGCTCCGAGACAACGCCATTCTTTTTTCCAATAGTTTTATCTGTTTTACTGCTTGCAGGTCGTAATTTGCAGAGAAGCGACACGACCATATTGTCGCGCAAGGTATCTTCGTGACTATCCACCATCTCCTAATAAGCTGCCAGCTCTTAAACATAAAGTCCGACATTGTATAAGGACGACAACCAGACATTTGTTATTTCATTCCATCAAAAATCAATGAAGCGCATCGCCGACTTTGAGATTGGCCTCAATACTTGAACAAGGATAATCGCAGTCACCGAATGTCTTGCTTGTACTTTCAACACTCTTGGATCTCAAAAGGTTTTGGTTAATGTGGGCACTATGAAGAGACGTATAAAGGATCTCGCAATCATTTGATGGCCTCTTTTCTTCATCAAAAACATGTGATGTGTGCATGTTTAGATTACGTCTCTATCGTCCCCTTCGTGATACCAGCTGGAAAAAGCTTAAGGATTTTGAGGGGAATAGCAGTGTAGTTTAGCACCATCAAGCTGGACACTGGTTCTTTTGAGAGGCAGATTCAGCGACAAAACGACCATCCTATCCTATTGTTCTTGCTGTTAGAGAGCGCATCTTCTACCATCAATGTCTTGCCATTCGTTTGCGCCAACGCAGCGGACACAATGATGATCCTCTTTCCCTTTGAAGTGATCATTCTCAAAGCCACTCTTGCTGCATGGGCACTCATTCTTACATATTCATTTAATATGCCCAGTCATGTGCATTTCACTGTTACTGCCTACCAACGATCCAGCTTCGACAGCCATCGCTTTAACTACAATCAGCCTTTTTTACCTGACGCTTGTACGCTTGTAGCGAAAAACGCTCGATCAGTGTGACCATAAGGTTTTAGACTCTTCCAGCTGTAACTTGGTTGTCGATCCGTTGAGCCGTAACTTGAGTTGGTCATAAGAATTGAGCTGTCTGTCTACTAAGGCGGTCGGCAGAATCTGCGATATAAAAGTGAAGAACGTTAACCAAATCTTGTAAAGGTACAAGACGTGGCAAAACTATGCTTATGGGCGGCACATCAGCCGTGGGAATCAAGTGTGACGTGTAAAGGCATATTTTGGCAGTGATCGTCACTCAAGCATAGGCATTTATCCGCTCCTGTTCATGTATTCGTTCGTATCAAAGCTAGGTATAATAATTGATGGTCCTTTGTAGCTCTACCGCCAGCTTTAAAATGCCAGATGAGGCATTCCGCTTTTGTCGGCGTCAACTGCATTCGTGTGCATAAAACTAGCGACGAGACGTCTTTGGGGTTAGAAGTTGCATTGCATCATTGCATTGTGCTGAAAGCACGCGAAGACTAGCCCAAAGTAAGGGTAATTTTTAAAAAAAATAAAAAAAAAAAAAAAAAAAAAAAAAAAAAAAAAAAAAATTTTTTTTTTTTTTTTAATTTTTTTTTTTTTTTTATTTTTTTTTTTTTTTTTTTTTTAAAAAAAAAAAAATTATTTTTATATAAAAAGATAAAAAAAAAAATATTTATATTTTTTTTTTTTATTGTTTTTTTTTTTTTTTTTTTTTTAAAAAAAAAAAAAAAAGTATTTTTTTTTTTAAAAAAAAAAAAAAGAAAGAGAGGGGAGTGATTTTTTAAAATTAAAAAAATAAAAAAATTTTTAAATTTTTAATGGATTTTGTGTTTTTTTTTAAAAAAATAAAAAAAAAAAGAAAAAGGAGAAAGATTAAAAATAAAAAAAAAAATTTAAAAAAAAAAAAAAAAAATTATTTAAAATTTTTTTAAAAAATATTTTAAAATTTTTTTTTTTTTTTTTTTTTTTTTTTTTTTTTTTTTTTTTTTTTTTTTTTTTTTTTTTTTTTAATTAAAAAAAAAAAAAATAAAATAAAATTTTTTAAATTTAATTTTTTAATAAAATTTTAAAAAAAAAATAATTATTTTTTTTTTTTTTTTTTTTTTTTTTTTTTTTTTTTTTTTTTTTTTTTTTTTTTTTTTTTTTTTTTTATTTTTGTTTTATTTTTTAAAATTATAAAAAAATAAAATTTTAAATTTTTAAAAATTTTTTTTAATTTTTTTTGTTTAATTTTTTTAAATTTAAAAAAAATTTATATATAATTATAATTATAAAAATTTTAATTTTTTTTATATTTAAATATATAAATTTATTTTTTTTTTTTTTTTTTTTTTTTTTTTTTTTTTTTTTTTTTTTTTTTTTTTTTTTATTTTTATTAAATTTTTTTTAAAAAAAAAAAAAAAAAAAAAAATAAAAAAAAAAAGGAAGAAAAAAAAGATTTATAAATTAAAAAAATAAAAAAAATTTTAAAAAAAAAAAATAAAAAAAAATTAATAAAAAAAAAAAAATTTTTTTTTTTTTTTTAAAAAAAAATATTAAAAATTTTTTATAAAAAAAAAAAATTAATTTTTTTTAATTTAAAATAAAATTAAAAAAAAAAAAAAAAAAAAAAATAATATTAAAAAAATTAAATTAAAAAAAAAAATGATTTTTTTAAAAAAAAAAAAAGGAAAAAAAAAAAAAAAAAAAAAAAAAAGAAAAAAAGTGTTTTTGAAAGAAAAAAAAAAGTGTGGTTTTTTGAGAAAGAAGGGAAGTGTTTTTTTTTTTTTTTTTTTTTTTTTTTTTTTTTTTTTTTTTTTTTTTTTTTTTTTTTTTTTTCCCCCCCCCCCCCCCCCGCCCTCGACTCTTCAAACACCTCTTCGTTGCCTCCTATGTGTCGCCTAGCGCTACCAAAAAAAGCGTCCTTTTGTGTCGCCAGAAACTGCTATACCACTAGACATGCAATTTCCAACACTCCTCCTCGTGAGTGATAGGCTACGCAACCGGATCTCACGCAGCGCCATACCAAGGTTGTCGCTCGCGTGTGTAACGTCTCATTTCACCACTTCTGTCGCCAGCTCATCGTCCTCGAGAAGCGTCGTAGTTACTCGTGCCCCGTCACCGCACAGCGCTTCTCCATCTGGGGCAGTCCTTACGCCATGTTCATCAAGCCGTGTAGTGTCGCGAGCTTGACAGCGTCCATCGCTTTTGTCGTCAGATCCGCGAGCATAAGCTCGGAGCGGACGTGCTGCGCCCGGATGATACCGCAATGCACGTATTCTTTCGCAAACTTGTGGCGTACGTCGATGTGCTTCACCTTGTTCGTCGACGCTTCACCCTATATCTGGCTAATGGCAGCCTGGGTTTCGACATGTAGGAGCATCGAAACCACTGGCGCAATGCCGATATCCATCAGAAGATCCCGCAGGCCAATGATGTCGCGCGCAGCCACGAACTCCGCCTCTATGGTGGTTAGAGACACGCCGCCTTGATTTTGGCGCACCATCGCACTACCATGCCATTCATTCAAAGCACCACTCCTCCGGTGAGAGACGTGTGGCGCCTTGTCGGCCGCAAAGTCGGCGTCGCTGTACGCCTCAAACAGTAGCGCATCACGGATATCTGGCGAAGCCTTCATCGTGAGCTTGAGCGTCGCAGTGCCCTTAAGGTACCTGGCGATCCGCTTCGCAAGCTTCCAGTCGTGGAGGCGCGGTGCGTGCGTCAGTCGGGTCGCTTTTAAACGGCAAATGCCACGTCTACCGTGCACCCACAACGAGCTACCCACTAGTTCCTGGAATGATATGATCGTCGGACCGCCGCTCGCGCTCGTTGTCTCAAGCAGCCCAGCATCATCGGTCAGCATCTTGTAGCACTCATCACCGATTGACGTCTTCGTTGAGTTGGCATCGTTCATACCATTTACGCAAAAGTTCTTTGAACGCTTCATCTTGATTAATGCGGTAGCTGCCGTTGTCGCCAAGCTCGACACGCATGCCGAAAAACTTGTGCACGCGGCCCATGTCCTTGATCTGGAGCGTCGCACAGACCCTCAAATAGCTTCTGCACTACCGCGGCGCTCGTGCCCGTCGCAAGTAGATCATCAACGTACACACCGACGATAACAAGCTCCTCGTCGTCACGCCGAAAAGTATAAGCACATATCGGTAACACACCAAACGAGCCCAGCGTCCGTAAGCCGCGCATGGAGCAGCCGGCTCCAGAGACGTTCCGCTTGCTTCAAGCCATACAGTCTCTTGTGTAGCTCGAGGACGACCTCAGCAGAGTTTGCGGCGCCGAGCTCGCGCAGTGTGTCGTCAAACACGTCCATCCCGAGCGGCACTTGCAAGAAATTCTCGAGGCGGCTTCCTTGTCCGCCTTTACGTACGCGTTTGGATTGTCGCCAGTTTTGACCGGCACGCCCCAAATTGCCGCGAGCGCTAGCAGTACCTTGACAGTGTTGATAACCATCACCGCCGCGAACGTAAGACTGTAGTCCACGCCGAGTACTTGCTCGTTGCCACACACAACGCCTCGCTTTGTGGCGTTCCAAATCGCCGTAGGCTCCCGTCTTGGTCTTATAGACCCATTTTGAGTGCAGCGGGTTCTATCCGACTCTTCTCTTCGTCAGGCGCCAGATACCGTTGTCCTGGAGCGCTAATCTCCTCGCGCATTGCGACCTCCCACTTTGCGCGCTTCGAGTTCCGCATTGCTTCTGCATAGTTGGTCGGGTCCTTCTCGTACGCGAGATTGACGACGTCGGTTATCGCCGTCAGCTCCTCCAGTTGCGCCACTCCTCCTGCGCGCTTGATACTACCACGTGTCACGTGCGGATGCCGCTGCCGCTGACACTGTTTTTTCTTCGCCTTTGTCCGCGCGATTTTGCTGCTGCATTCAGTGCTCGACTGCGTCACTTCCATTGCTTCTTGCGCTAACCCAGGTGACGAGCCCGAGTTCGTCGCACTCACGTCGTCTCTGCGCAGGACAGGGTCAATAATTCCGCGCAGCAGTCGTTCGTTTTGTTCTGCTGACAGCATCGCGATAGTTCTTACGTGCTGCGTCGTGATGACGATGCTCGTCTTTGGGAGCATACTTAGTACCTCTTCGTCTCATCGTTGCGGCCAATGATCTTCTCTTCTTCCGATCGCGGCGCCAGTGAGTTCTTGCCCGGGTCCCGTTGTACGTCTCACGTCGACCCAAAAACGACGATGTCACTTAGATCTGGCGCGGATAGATTATGAGCCCAATGGCTAGACCGCAAGATGTTAAAGCAGCACCGAATTCATCAGTCTAAGCTAGAACTTCACCGGGAC